CATTCCCTACCGCGCGTTTTTGACCTTGCCGCTTTTCCACAATCATGGAATCTCGACGCTGTTCCGTGCCATTGTCGCCGGTCACAGGATCGCCATCTACAATGCCAACTTGCCACTTTCTGGAACTACGTTGGTCAAGGCCATGAACGCTACAGAGCCCGGCAGCTTGCACTGCGTGCCCTATGCACTGAAGCTTCTCGCGGAGACGGAGGGAGGTATCGAGGCGCTGCAGAGACTCAAGCTTGTGTTGTACGGCGGCAGCAGTTGTCCCGATGACTTGGGTGATCGACTCGTTGAGGCGGGCGTGTATCTCGTCGGACACTATGGGGCGTAAGTTATCTCTACTCCCGGCCAGCTTGAATCTTACTGACTTTGACACAGCACCGAGATGGGCCAGCTCATGACCTCGTTCCGCGAGCCCGGGGACAAGTACTGGAACTACATGCGGCCCTTGGCATCAGCCAAGCCGTGGCTGCGCATGATTCCTATCGCAGGCGACGTCCACGAGTGCGTCGTTCTTGACGGTCTTCCGTCAAAAGTTATGTCCAACTCGGATGACCCGGCTCCCAACTCCTACCGCACCCGTGACACTTTTGTTCCTCATCCCACGATCCTAGACGCCTGGAGGTACCTAGGCCGTCTTGACGACCGTGTAACCCTGGTGAACGGCGAGAAGGTCCTGCCCATCCCCTACGAGAACCACATCCGTGAGCACGAGCTCGTCCAAGAAGTCGTCGTCTTCGGCGTCGACAAGTCTATCCCCGGCCTCGTCATCATCCCCAGCGAGAACGCAAAGGGTCTCTCAAAGCCCGACATTCTCAAGACCCTGAGCCCCGTCATCGAAGAAGCCAACGCCCGAGCCGAGGCCTTTGGCCGCGTCTCGCCAGAGATGATTGAAGTGGTAGACATTGGCACAGAGTACCCCCGCACGGACAAGGGCACCGTCATCCGCGCCGCCTTTTACAAGCAATTCGCAGACCTCATCGAGGACGTCTATAGACGCTTCGAGGCGCCCAAAGACGACGTCACCGGTGGCGAGCTGCTCACCCTCGACCTGCCGCAGCTCCAAGACTACCTCCTCAACCTCTTCAGCTCGACGTTGGGCTTCTCCAAGGTCGAAAAGGACACCGACTTCTTCGAGGCCGGCGTTGACAGTCTCCAGGCCAGTACCGCGCGCGGCCATATCCAGCGCGGCGTCGACCTCGGCGGCAAGACCCTGGGCCAGAACGTCGTCTTCGAGTATCCAAACGTCCTCTCCTTGTCCAAGCACGTCTACGCCCTCCGCACAGGCGAATCTGTAGATGCCGAAGACGAGATCGAGGTGATGAAGAAGCTCATTGCAAAATACTCTGACTTCTCCGAGCGCACGCCGGGCAACATCACCCCAGAAGGTGAGACCGTCGTCCTCACAGGCGCGACGGGCTCCCTCGGCGCACACCTCCTCGCCCAAGTCGTCCGCCAACCCTACGTGAAGGCAGTTTACTGCCTCGCACGCGCCGCCTCCGCCGAAGAAGCCGAATCCCGCGTCCTCGCCTCCCTAACCCCCAAGGGCCTCAGCCTCTCCGAAGCAGACAAGGCGAAAGTGCGCTACCTGCCGACGAACCTCGGCCTTCCTGACCTAGGCCTTCCCGCCGACGCCGCCGCCGAGCTCCGCCGGTCCCTGACGACGGTGATCCACTCGGCCTGGGCCGTCAACTTCAACCTTGGCGTCGCGAGTTTCGAGGCGCAGCACATTCGCGGCGTGCACAACCTGCTCAACTTCTGTCTCAGCACTGAAACGGTCGCGCCCGCAAGGTTGTTCTTCTGCTCATCTATCTCGGCAGCGGCGGGCACGCCTATCCCAGCGAGGGTGAAGGAGACGTACGTTGAGAAACTGGAACACGCGCAGAACATGGGCTATGCCCGGTCCAAGGTCGTTACGGAGCACATCGTCAAGGCTGCGGCGACCAAGACGGGTATGACGGCGAGGGTTCTGAGATTGGGTCAGATTGTGGGCGACTCAGAGGGCGGCGTGTGGAATCAGACGGAGGCTATCCCGTTGATGATTCGCAGCGCAAAGGTCATCAAGGCGCTGCCTGCTCTGGAAGAGGTAAGCTTTTACTCTCACTACATGACGAGAGATCATAAGGAATGAATCAAGTGCTAACCAAGAATCTCCTGCAGACCCCCTCATGGATGCCAGCCGACAAAATGGCCCTCGCCGTCCTCGAACTCGCGCGCCTCACCGGCCCACGCTGCACGTCCTGCGGCGCACCACCCTCCTCTCCCGACGACGCGGACCTAGACCTCGTATATCAGGTCCAGAACCCGCGCCTGTTCCACTGGACCTTCGACTTCCTGCGAGCCCTCCGCGACGCGGGGCTCGAGTTCCAGATCGTCTCGCAGCGCGAGTGGGTGCGCCGCCTCCGCGAGTCCGACCCGGACCCGGAGCAGAACCCAACGTACAAGCTGTTGGGCTTTTTTGAGGACAAGTACGACAACGACAGGCCCGGTCGTCAGGGTCTCGTGTTTGAGACGGAGAGGACGGGCCAGAGGAGCGCTGCTGTCGGGGACGGGTGGGATGTTGTAGGGAGCGGGCTTGTTGAGAGGATGGTGAGGTGGATGGAGACCCAGTGGTGATGTGTAGGGGGTGTTATACCATGTGTGGACTCATTATTGGCGTTTGACATATTGTAACAAGGCTTTTGAATTGTAGTGCTGTTTGTCTGGATATCATGACTATAAGAGAAATTGGAGTTTCTACATTTCGATCAAGTCTGCCCGCAGAGATATTAGCACGATTCTGGTTTTCTATGTCATTACAGATCTTACAATGAGGGGTTAATTGAGGTTGGGCATGGAAATAGTTCGATATTGCAAACTTTACCCCAAGGAGATGTTCAGGAACGCGGCGGCTGGTCGGCAGTCTTGGGAGTTGTGAGCTGTGAATTTTCGAGACCAGCCGGTGAAGCAAGACACCTTCTCATAAGCGCAGCCAGTCACAGTGATCCCCTCTTGCAGGAAGGTCTTGGAACGGATTCCCAGCCATTGCGCGCCACGAAGAGCGGTAAGACGCATGCTACCGTAGGGGACTCGGACATCCGAAAGCCACATCACCAACCTTGAAACATTCAGAGGTCGTCTCCAATTCCCATCTTCTTCTTGACTTTCTCTCTTACGCAGCGTCTTCACCCACAGTAACTATTAGATACCGAAAGATTGAAGGGCCATGCATATACCTAGACTCGTAGCCCTGGGCGCAGTCCTCACGACAGCGGTCAAAGCCTTCACCCCGCTCAATATTACGGCGCTCTCAACCCGGGACGGCTACTCCGTCATCGAATGCTGGCAACTCACCTCCATCCCCGTCGAAGCCCGCGCGGCCCTCAACTACGCCGTCGGCGGCGACCTGACGCGCGCAGAGTGGTCCATCATACAACCCAGGACGACGGTGGGAGAGGCCTGGGCGCCGGCTGTGCAGTGAGTTCTTTTTCTTCTTGCACTGCATGTCTCTCTCTGTGTGTATGTATGGGACGCATTTCCTTGTTCATGAGACGACCGAGCTTCATTCTCATCTCTTTGTTTTTGTTGAGCTACTCTTCGAAATTTGATGGACAAGGAACAAGGAGGACTCGAAAAGTGCGACCTCACGTCAATCTTTTCTCAGTATTGAAAACTCATGACTGACTTGATCCCCGCCAACCTTGTACAGGCTGACAGTCATCCTCAACGGCCTAATCCGCATCACATCGCCAGCACCGCCAAGGAACGCGTCGCAGGCCACGCCGTCACTCTCGCCACCAGGAGGCAGCAGTGGCGACGAGGCATCAACACGTCCGGCGCAGAGGACGGCGTACATTCAGCCAGGCACGGTATCCTCGTCGCTCGTCATCGCGGCGGACTTGAAGAACGCGAGCGTGCACGCGGGACACTTTACCGAGTTCCCCGGCGACGAGCCGACGGTGCTGGTGCAGGTGCCGTTTGCCGGGAACGCGGCGCCGGAGCATGTTGTTCTGGGAGAGGGGCCGTGTGAGAGGGGGAGTTGGGGCGCCGCGATGGGCGGTGGCATCTGACCGATGACCACATGTATCGAAAGAAGGACTTGTCTTTTGCTTGTGATAATGGCGCTCACTCGTGTCGTAGAATACTAACAGTTACTACCTATGACCGTGTATGCAGCTTATGATCCGTCCCGGGGTCTTTTCGGACCAGCGGCACGCCTTCTTGAGACGACTGCCTTAGAGCGGGAGAAGTGAGCGCTATCCCAAGGGACAATGTCATGGCGCGAGGATAGAGGCTCACGTTGGCCGACAATGAGACTGAGACTGGGACAGGTACGCAGAGAATGTGCAGGAAAACGTAATGGCTCAGGAAGCATGATTTTGGCCTGAGCCTAATATTGGGCACACGAGTGAGGCGGCAGGGAAGGGAAGCTCGGATTTGAACTGATTTAGGCTCACGGGTTTTGGGTCCTAGCCTTTGGTGCCTTGGTGCTTTACTTGGATCGCCGCTTGGTCGTGTTCGTGGACCGTGTGAGTGATGCATTAACGATGGCAAAAAAGTCATCCGAATTTCCCAGGTCTACAGACGACGGTGCGGCCGTTCAGTACGTGTGCTCTGTTCACTCGGAATTGTGATCGACTTGGCCATGCCGGGACATCCGCTGTGAGTAAACGAGCGTACGACACGTTGACATGAACTTAGAGATGATCACTTCGGATAAGGAAATTCACCATTTGTGTGCGTCATGTTTTGTCCCTCTATCGGTGTTCGGGGCACTTTGGCAGTTTGACCGCCAGATATGGGATTAATCGATCATAGTGCAAGAGTGATGGCGCGGACAGGTGATTTCGTGAAGGTCTTTTGCCTCGGGGACTGGATACAACGGCACGGCTGAGACAATAGCAATGGCCGAGGTCCCTTTCCGCGTCGCAAAGTTCGAACACAGCAGTCTTGCTCTTGTGCTGCTGTGGTGTGACGGGGACTGACGGCCAGGCCGTGAATCTGTGCGACTGTGCTATTCAGGGTCGACCGTCGAAGACAGAGGGACACAGCGCGAACATTCTCTTTCTTCTCCGTACGTCCAACAGAGAACGCGTGGATGACCGAAGAGCAGACGAAATCACGAAGTGACAGAAATCAAATGCCCAGGCGGCAGCACCAGAACCTCGGGATGTGACAGTTACGTGACACACGCCTCGCAGGCTGTATCCGTAGACTCCGACAATCTCGCAGCACGGCACGCACGGGTGATCTCGTGGCATGTTTGGCGTAGTAGCGCAGAGTCACTGAAGCATTTCCGTAGGGTAACATTGGTGGTCAGCAACCAGAAACGAATTCAGTATTCACAGTATAGCCTGTATAGGGAGATCTCGGCAGTGTACGGGAAAGGGAGGGGCCTAAAATTCCACGATTTGCTCATCTATCCGCACTTTATCCTTCTCTTTCCCGCCCCGCACGAGGAGGATAGGGTGCTGACAGCGATCATCCCGGTAGTGGTCCACGGGCGTGCTCGATGAGGCATGCGGACCCGGCTGAGAGCCTTGGAGGGGTGGGATCGGGAGAGGGAGGGGAAAGATTGATCTCATCGGCGGGGGTCGGATGGGGGTCAGATAGGTCAAGTAGGGCAGACTTCGGACTCTGGAGTTTGCTGGAACAGCAGGGCCAGTTTCTCTGGAATGTGGAAAAAGCAACTCGCAGCGGGAGGCATCTCGGCAGCCTGTGATAATGGCGTCGTCAATGTCTTTGCGGTGCGCTGGTGGCACGCAGCCTTGGCAGCCACACGCTGTTGGTAATAGTTTGAATCGCCAGAACACACAGCAGCAGCACAGTAATTAGTGGCAGGCTCAGCAGCAGGAGGATTCATGACAGCCAGTTGGAAATAAAACGCATGTCTCAAGACGGCAGGGCCAGGCGGCTGCGAAGTTCTGGCTGGCCCAGCCTGGTTCGCGCATGGCCGTTCAAGCCCCGTCCGGCCAGCCCAGTCCCAGTCGCAGTGAGCGTGACCTCGTGGTCTCGAGGATCATTGCCAGTTCTGGGACTGGTGGCTTCGTGGAGGAAGTGACTGAAGTCTGGATGGGTGTGTGTGGTCGATCGTAGGTGGCTGTGGTCCCGCGCTGGCGAACCCGTACGGAATTGGAGGGTCGGACGAAGAACGGAATCCAACGACCTGATTCAGATTGTAGGTTTGGATTTCCTCGTGTGATAATTGGTGCTGACGGGACCGTTTGGAAACTTTGCAGTCGGTTAATAAGGTTGGTCGGCATGGATATAGCTTCAACGTGCGGTGGCTGAGCAAAGCTGCGTGGGTTCACGGAGGACTCATGCGATGCTCTCATTCGCATTATTGAGGCTGGCCTAAAGGCTTCCGTCGCCCTCGTGTGAAGTATCTCTTGTAAGCACTTGGTCTCCAGACAGACGAGGATGAGAGCCTGTCGCATCTCAGGCGCGCGAGATAGACGGCAATCTACCCATCCATCCATCAATCGATAATGAGATGGGATGGATGGATGGATTCATGTACGCGAGAAGCGAATCGCTGCCCACGGGGTCGGGTATGTACGATGACCGCTGGGTGACCTCCTCCTGGGTCGGCACGTCAGGTCGCAGCAGGCGGCATACATTCAGGTTGACGCGGTAGGCGATGATTGGGCTGGTGTGAATCAGGGACGATGCGACGGCGTCCAATCCAAGGGTCAATTGACTCCTGGAGTGGTGTGGTAGCAGAAGCCAAAGATGCGTGTGAGTGATGTGTGAGTGAATGCGTGTGTGAATGGAGGATGAGTCTGACATGTGAAAAGGAGATCAGGGACTGCCTGTCTCACTCTCAACCACTGAAGCTCAGAGCAGAGCTATCAACTGCGCCGCGAATGACAAGGCCGCTGAATCCTGCAACGGAAATAGTACCCCCGTCCAATAATTTGAGCCTTGGGTAACGTGGTGAGGGGCCTCTCATCCGTCAAGAGACGCGCTCTCAGAGTCGAGATCAAGCTGGGAATGAATGATACTTGTGCTAGCTACCGTAGTCTCACACCAGCTTTGCCTCTGCAGCTGCTGCGCGCACTCACTCATGTGACTATTTCCTTGTCATCCCAATGTTCCTCCTCTGTATGGTTCTGAGCAATGGGCATGTTGTTTTGGCTTGTGATACGTGATCCTCGCGATACCACCTCGTCGTCTCGTGAAGGCTACATAGTACCAAAGTAAGAGGTGCTCATATTGCCTTTTACGGAGAGACGCATGATGATGGGGGTGGGTGAAAGACAATCCTCATAATTCATTCGTTCATGCTCACTGGCATCGAACTCACTCGCTTTCATTAAGCATTTAGCATTACAACCTTTTACCAAAGAGACCAGCCCTAATCAAGCCCTCCTTCGCAGGAGATTTCGCAATATTCTGCCCCTCCTTCACGAAAATCCCCAGGAAAGCAGAGCCAGCCCAAAAGGAGGGGTGAAGGCGCAACACAGTGACACACACACACACACAACGTTCGACTCATTCTTCCACTCCGCACACACACCACTTGCTCCGCCAAACTCCATGCCTGGACCTTGCCCGGCGCTCTAGCGACATCGGCGGTTGCGCGGGAAGAATCCCAGTGAGGGGCCGCCGTGGGAACTCTAGACTTTCTTGACATGGGGGAGAACCTTGCCGCCCTGCACGACCAGCCCACAGCGTCTCGCCTTGACTCTCTTTTTCAATCGTTCTTGACCGTGAATGCACGCTCATCCAACCCACTCAAAGCCAAGGGAGAGTCAAAACGTCGTACTTGTCACTGTCAAGAGTGAACGAAGCTAGCGGGTGGACCGAAACGTCAGAAGAAACGAAGCGAGACGTTTTGCTGGTTTGATTAATACAAACAAAACATTCATAGTCGCGCCAACCGAGGACTGACGCCCAGCTTTTTCAGCTCTCGGCTTTTTCATTGTTCAGTAACAGCGTTCCTCAAAGAAAAAGAGCCGAAGCTCATGCCGGCCAGGAGTGCCTCGTTCTCAGGTAGAGAAAGGGTACGGTATGCTCACTGACATGACTTGACGAGATTCAAGGGCCGCCATCCCGTTCCCGCCCGTCAATTCACGCAGCAAAGTGAAGCTAGAGAAGCAGCGCCGCCGTCCTACTGTTCTAGTCGCCGCGACTTAAACTCTCGGGCTGCTCTCCGGCCGTCTTAAGCTCCCAGGTCGTCTCTTCAATAGTGTGAAAGAGCTAGCCCTCATTCCATCTCCACGAGCCGTCGAACAGCGCATCAAAGGTGGAGTGATATCAACACCACGTCGCCGGGCCATCCTCGTCTCGAAATGGAGGCTTTTCCGTCAGGCCTTTGAATGCCCTCTTTCAATCACACAAACAAACACGCGTTCAGCACACACTCTTTCAGTGACTACAGTTCTCATCTCATCTTCAGTTACTCACTTTTCTCGTATCTTTCATTTCCCCTCAATCTCATCATATCGATTCTCGACTCTGCCCATCTCATCCCACACGCGTCCACTCGTGCGTCACCGCTACTCCGACTGGGAGAGGCTTGGGAGGATTTAAGCCCCCTCCTCGGAAGTTGTCGAGCTTTTCCTGCAACAACATCAGCGCTTTACGCAATTCAGGCCCTACAACCCTTCTCCTGTGCCAGGGACCCATTCCGCGATCCGCCGCCTCGCATGTGCAGTCTCTCACTTGCACGCAACCACGCGCATGAAGCCCATCATAGGTACATAGCAAAACAGACAATAATTGCAGGCCAACTCTATGGTCCTGAGCTGTTCCTCTTACGGATGAAGGCCGAGTACGGTCTAGAAAAGGGTACCTACACTACACACTACACGAACCATGACACACAACACACCAGGCGCCCCTCTCAGCCTCTCTTAGTCTTCTCTCCTTTCACCCAAAAAGAACATTAGCTGCATGAACAGAGAGGCGCCGCAACGCAACTTGAGACGACAACGTGAAAGATCAACGCGAATCCTCTATCCGTAAAGCGCAACGCCTCCCGCCAGCAGCGGGCGAGAGGGCAAAATTCACTACCACCTGCATGCTGGAAGTGGATATCCTGTGCCTCTGCAAGTCTCTTGTGTTACTGTTTTGCTTCCCAAGTGCCCACCCACTGTGACTCGCCTCCCCCATCTTTATCATCTCCACCGTGTTGCGTCAAGAGGCCTGGAGGGCAACACAACGCCCAGAGGTTCTAGACTCAACTCGACTCCAGTCCGTCGCCGGTGGCTCGCCTTTAACGCTGCTTCTTCTAAACCGTCCAAGTTAGCACTTAGGTACCGCTCTCTCATCTCATCCCAAAGATGCGGTTTTTATCGCTGGGATTATCTCTTAGCGTGTAGCGCATCGCCGGGCGACTACATCATCGTCTCAAGTTTCGAAACTCTGCGACACGAAAGGCCCTTTTCCCTTTTCCTTTCCTGTCCTTTGGCCTCTGCCCCTCCCCCTCTTCTCTGTAGTTGGCGTACAGGCTTCTACCCTCCTCGGTTTTCTCCCGCTCTCTTGTCAAAGGACAAACCTGCGTCTGAAGAAAAGGTCGATCGGGACCTGGTGCCGGTAAAAACTGTGCAAAGGCGCTGCAGACTCGAACTTCTTCGGCCGCTGTTCACTTCTAATTCCCGATATATCACCGCGCCACTTTATTTCTGCTCATTCATCTTCGATCCGTGTTTCCCTGCCCAGTTTGCTCACGCAACTTGTCTCTTACACTTGTGTGGTCTTGAGACATGCATATTGAGACAGCCTTGGGACCTCGGAATCTAGAACTTGGAGCTTCTTGACATCGGCGGCTTGTCGTCTCATCAACAAGTTACAACCGCCCTTCGCCCACCTGGCCACCTGCTGCACCTGCAGCCTGTCTACTACCCCCCTCCCGTCCCGCAGCAGCACACGACTTCGGACTTCACCCCCCCCCCCCCCTCCTCGTCTGATCTTCTGGCCGCCGGCTTGCCCTGCTGCTCTTCAGACCGTTCAGTAAGGACTCAGTAGTGTCCCGTACGCGGTCTCTGCATTACCTCCCTCTCATTCTCTCTGCTCCGTTGATCCCAGTACGGCTACTTGTCGCCCTATAAACCCTCCCAGCCATCTACAAGAATTACATCCCTCACCCCTTCAACCCGTCTCCGCTGCCAGGCCCAGCACACATTTTCCGACCTTGACAAGACGGGAAAGACATTGGCATTGTTCAATCGTCGCAGTGGGCTTCCCGCATAAACCAACTCTTAACAACAAGCACCACCCCTTACCCACCGACGCCAACGAGAAAGACAAAAACGCC